GATTTCAATTACATCTGTTAATAGAAATGTTTTTTCCATATCGGTAATCCTATGCAGGTTCCTCATTACTGCCCTTAGCATTTTATGCTCCTGGCATTTTGTGATGAATATTTTGTTTTAAGTCAGAAAGAAAAAACTCAGATGTTTAAAAAAGAGGAAGTTACTTAAAATCCATTATGTTTGACATCATCACCTTTACATTTCACTCTCCTTTTAGATTTAGGTGTATATCAAATACATATTTAGGCTGAATGCCAAATGGCTAAGTATTTTTCAACAATTTTCCGAGGCTGACACCAGATACCATCATAGGATGAATTTTTTGGACATAAAAAGAAATGTGAAATGTAGTTGTAATTACATTTTTATAATAAAAAATCTTAGCAATCAAATTTTAAAAGTTTGACATTATAGTACAGGAATGAGTATTGCCAAACTTTCTTTTTTCTTTTTTTTCTTTTTTTTTTTTTTTTTTTTGAGACAGAGTCTCATTCTGTTCCCTGAGGCTAGAGTGCTCTGTCATCAGCCCAGCTCACAGCAACCTCAAACTCCTGGGCTCAGGCAATCGTACTGCCTCAGCCTCCCGAGTAGCTGGGACTACAAGCATGTGCCACCATGCCTGGCTAATTTTTTCTATATTTTTAGTTGGTCATTTAATTTCTTTCTATTTGAAGTAGAGATGGGGTCTCGCTCTTGCTCAGGCTGGTCTTGAACTCCTGATCTTGAGTGATCCTCCCGCCTCGGCCTCCCAGAGTGCTAGGATTACAGGCGTGAGCCACCATGCCCGGCCTATATGCCTATTTTTTAATATAACAGATTAAAGCTTGTTATTTGTTTTCTATATAAGATTACCAGCTCTCACATTTTTCCCTAATTTTGCAACACTTTGCTCTTCCAGTGCTTCTAGCACATAACATTTTATTCTAAGTTATAGCTGTACATTCAAAATGAATAGTCAAGTGTTAAACTAGTACGTAAGGATGATCTTCTTTGTTGGCATGCCCCTGCTTTGCTGACTGCACACGATGGTAACCTACATGGGGCAGACATAATGATCATGACGTCGGTCTGTGGTTATTTGACTTTCCAAAGGCCAAAGGGGAAGATGAAGTTGAAGCCGAATTGTAAGTCTTGGCCCAATACCAAAATTGAAGTAAAACTTGACTATGTCCTTAATTCAAGGTTTGATAGAACATTTCAATAAGCAAAACTTATTTTTTATACTTTCTCTTGTTTCTTTTTCTTCTTTTCTGGGGAAATAACTAGATATTTTAAACTGAAATCAGTGATTCCTCTAAGATCCACAAGATGGTGCTATGAAGTGGCATTTAGACAATTTTAAAAAACCACACTCCTAGGAGCAAATATGTAGGCAGGGTCAAATTAGTATCATTTAATAATATTGACTACAAATAAATACTGTTTTTAAAAGGCAATGGTAAACCAGATTAACTGATGGAAGATATCTTTACTCCTAACATTGCTTTTAAATATTCTGCTGCATTAATTATCCTCTGTTAACTCTGTTTTTGATCTCAGGTTTTAAAACTATTTTGTGAGAAGATTAAGATTTGAATTTGAATCTCAGTAGGGGCTAAGTCATAATGGGAAAAATATAGGACTGAGGCAGAGACCAGATTTCTAATCCCTGCCCTCCATCTGAACTGCTGCATCTAGTCATCCTTCCCTCTATTCCAGTGATTCTCAACCAAGGGTGATTTTTCACCTGGGGGTATTTTGCACCATCTGGGGACATTTTTGCTTTTCTTAGTTGCGTGGGTGGAATTGAGGGGAGCTGCTACTGGCATCTAGTGGGTAGAGATCAGGGACGCTGCTAAACATCCTACAATACACAGGACAGCCCCCCACAACAAAGAATTATCTTGGCCAAGATATCAACAGTGCCAAGATTGAGAAACTTGACCTATTCATTCACTTCCTTATTGGTTTGTTTGTTCATTCGTTAATCCACTGATTCATTCACTTATGCATGTACTTATCCACTCATCATTCCATTAATTCATTTCTTTAAAAATTTTTACAAAGTAGCATGATTGAAGATTGGACTAAACTCTAGACATAAAAAGATAAGGATTATCCTATTGCATTTAATCTGACAGGGGAAAGAGATGCTTGTGAAATAATATAACAATAATATGACATGATCAGTGTTTCATTCCTAAGTGTAAGATGTTCTGGGAGCAAGGGAATTATATAATGAATCCTGGGAAAGAAGGAAGAATTCAGGAAGACTTCACAGAGATGGGGGTTGTTTATTGAGTAGGTGGGTGAGGTCATAGAATGAAATTTTGAGCAAAGCACAAGCAAAGCTAGAGACATAATAGTCAAAAGTGTGTTTGGTGAGCATGTGCTGTTACAGCATGAACTTAGAATGAGGGGTAGGGTTGGGAAAAGGAAATGGAGAAAACCTTTAAAAAACTGAACAAGGCTACTCTGGGAAGGGCCTTGGACTTCATCCCCCAGGAATTTAAAATTTAAAATAGCAGAGTGATATTAGACATGTGGCAATCACATAACCTCTTTTGGCCCAAGTTTCACACCCTTAAAGTGTTCGATGAGAAACATGTCAGGTTCCCTTTAGCTTTAAAACTATGTTTTATAATGATAAAGTTAATCTATTAGATATATTAAATACTGTGTATTATTAGATTTATATTACAACTATCAGTAAAAATCACATTTATAAGGAAAATATTTTTAATATACAAAAATTGTGTTATCACAGATATTTACTTTCATTATAATAAAATACCATATATTTCTACTAATATGTTTGGTGTTTTAAGGCTGGACACTGGAGAAGATCAAGTTATTCTGCAGAATATGCACAATCTTTCAATTGATTCATTACTGTCAATAATGAATGGAGGTTGCAATCAGAATAAATTTTTAAAATATTTTTTCCTCAACTTTCTCTACTATTTGTACTTTTATCAATAAGTTATAGACAATCTAATTAGATCCAACTAGTTTAAAATATGTTCTGTAGTTTGAATAATTACTTCAAAAGTATTATCATTTTAGAGAAGTAAAGCTTTGGAGAGTCCTTTGTGTCTTACATTAATAAATAAAACTTAAAGATGAAAAATTGTGTGAATTCTATTTGAGTAAAATTAGTAGCAATCAAATGATAATTTGATATAATCTGATTCTGACTTGTAAAATGTATTTTCATTATATATTTTTCATTACACATTATTATATTTATAATTTAAATTCACCTTTAAAATATGGCTGGCTGAAACCACTGCAGACAGTTCTGTAATCATTCAGAATTTAAGATCATAGATCAAATGGAATAACATGAGATATAAGTAAAAAAAAAAAAATTGAACGGGGATAGAGAAAACAAAAATGGGCCCCATATCTAAATAAAATACAAAGAACCCAGAAATCTCTCACAAGGAGCACTGCCATTCTTTTGCCCAAAATAGAGAAGTGAAAATACTAATGTTAACAGTGACAGAGGCACTGGGAAGGGCAGGGCTGTATTACAGTCTTGGGAACTGCTTAATGACACAGTAACTAAGCCACTTTCATCCTTGCTTGTTGTCTGAACTATAATTGTCTACCATATTTGATTGCATCTTTTTGAATTCTCCTTCCTCCTTCCCCCAAATCTTTATCCTTCTGGTTTCTAGACCACATTTCCTAGAGTATTAATTAAAGTCTTTGATGGATCATTTCAGATTTGACTATGCATTCATATTTATTTTTCTCCACAGAAATTATTATTAAAACCCATTCAACAATTTACAAAGTAATGTGGATTTTCCATAGCACTTGCATTTTAAGACTGCATCAGGGCCTTGTTTCAAGACAGAGGGTTAATTTTCAAGAGATAAAAATTTCCTTTGATGTTTTAAAAAGGGTTTCAAGCCCAAGAAAAGTGGTGGAACTAATTTGTGGTTTTCAAAGATACCTTACGGTTCAGGAAGGGAGCCATGGAAGAAGTGGGGGCAAGGTACATGACTGCTGGGACACCCCAATTGCTCACCCCACCCCCTGGTTCCATCAGAAGCTCTGCTTCTCTCTGTGGCCTTGTTGCAGATGAGACATCCTTTGAACAAAGAGTTATGGGAAGATGCCAGATGATCTCTAAGGTCCCTTCTGCCCTGAGGGTCTAGGAGTTCTTATTTTCAAATCTTTTCCAGGAGCACAGACCTTCAAGCTAAAAGAGTTGAATAATAACTGAGAGGCACAAGGCAGGTTAAAGAAAACATTTTTAAAAAAATAGCACCACAAGGCCAGGCATGGTGGCTCACGCCTGCAATCCTAGCACTTTGGGAGGCCGAGGCGGGCGGATTGCTTAAGGTCAGGAGTTCGAAACCAGCCTGAGCGAGACCCCGTCTCTACCAAAAATAGAAAGAAATTAATTGACCAACTAAAAATATATATATACAAAAAATTAGCCGGGCATGGTGGCGCATGCCTGTAGTCCCAGCTACTCGGGAGGCTGAGGCAGAAGGATCGCTGAGCCCCGGAGATTGAGGTGGCTGTGAGCCAGGCTGACGCCACGGCACTCACTCTAGCCTGGACAACAAAGTGAGACTCTGTCTCAAAAAAAAAAAAAAACAAACAAACAACAACAACAACAAAAAAAACAGCACCACTACTGGACTGTCACTAAATGTGTTATCTTCATTAATGGAAATTGGTAGTCACCACCCATTGGTTGGAATTTTTAAGCAAATATTTATTGATGAAACTTCTTAGCACAACAAAAATTTATGTTACTTAGGGGAAAATGTCCCTAAACATTCATAGCATTTTTCTGAACATAGTGATACATTTTGTATAATATGTATCCTATAATAGCTTTAGAAATAATCTTAATGTAGTCCCATAAGATAAAACAAATTTTCAACACAAACTCAAAGTCTGTTTTAGGAATTGCTTTTCATCTGCAACATAACAGTTATTTAAAAACAGCTTTGGAGAGAGGCTCTAGGAAGCATTTCATTTCATTCTATGCCTAGGTTCCATAATAAAGGACGACTTGCATGACTGTACGACCACGGAAGGTATAAAAAGGCAAGGAATGAATTGAGGGGTGGGTGGATCATAGACTTTTAACTTTTGGCTAGTTACATGAGATATTCCAGCTGTGCATGAATAGAATACATAATAATAAGTGCATAAGTGATTCCAATTAAAGCTAATAACTATGCTTACATTCTAGTCTCCCGGTCTTTCACGATAAAGACATCAGCAAACTAAAGAGAAAGAATCCAATCCATATTGTATAAAGGCAAGGACATTTCCAAGGTGAAAGGTAAAAAATAAATTTTTAATTTTAGAAATTCTATGGTCCTCTCCCTTCATTAAGATAAAAGTGACTAGAGATCAATGTATGTAATTAAGACACAGTTGTATGGGCAAAGGAGGTGTTTCTGTTAGTTGCTGTAATTTCTTTCTGGACATCAAGCTCCTTTTCTTCACTTAAAATAAATTAATAGCATAGCTTCTGCCACTCCAAATTAAAAATGGCAACAGTGAAACCCATTTGCTATTTTAGATAATGACTAATAGGATGCATATTTCATAATATCATGATGCAAATAATTTAAAATTCACAAATAATTAAAAACACTTCTTTACCTAACTTTTCCTAGAATGATAACTAAAGTCACTTATTTTTAATCCCTCATTTATCAGACCACATTTATATGAAAGAAGAAATAAAATATTTTCATGTTTTCCATGAGGAGGGAAGAGGGATGAAGGCAGAATGAAATTTGACATAGTGCAAAAGTATAGTGGAAGTGAAATCTTCAAAGAAAAAAGTTGCCTTAGGAATTTGTCTTTTTTACTTGTTCTTTTACCTGTTTAACCACTCAGTAACGAGTTATTCTTTCTAAGGGTAATTCTCTACTCCTGTTTTCCTGAACACAAATAAATGCTAGAAAATGAAAATAGAATATAGGTACATACAATTAATATAAATGTTCTTTAAAACATTTCAAAATCCCACAGCACAATAGGAAACCTAATTATCATATTCTGAAATGTATCAGGTAAATAGAGTTAATTCTTTTGTCTGTTCTAATACAGGTTTGCTTTCTTTTGAACTAAGTTGGCCTTCTCCTATATATGGAAGTCTAGAAACTCTTGAACAGACTACAAATTATATGTCTCCACTGGTCTGGCAATTTCTACCCTTGGCATTTCTGGTTTTGTTGTCCATTTTGGGGGCAGAAGAGAGGATGCAGGTTGGGCAGAGTGGTGCAGTTTCCTCTCAGCCCTACAATCAGAAACGGGCCACACAGAGGGAAATGCAACCACAGGGCTGAGTCGAGGGCAAGTGCAAGGTGGGATCCTGTTATTTTGACATTTTGTTTACCACGGATTTCTTTTTTGCATTAATTTTAATTTTTAAAAATATTGCATCACTGAGATTTTTGGCGCCCACTTACATTTTGCACCAAGGCCTGAGTATCTCACCTGCCTCACCCTAGGCCTGGCCCTATTCAACCAGCCCCCAGGCTGTGGTGTGGGCTCAGGGCGGAGCACAACCTCTCCCTTTTACCCTTCTCAGCTCAGATGGGGCAGAAAAGTCTCCTAGAAGAACTAAGCTCTCCCTGCTTGCAAAAATGGAAATGAAGGGTAAAGAAAAGTATCCTCTTTGCCTAAGAGGGAACCAATATGCATGTTAGGAAACAGCAGTCATCATCACTAGCACTGACCCTTGGGAACTTTAGCTGTTCTCTGTTCCAATGCTTATTCGTTCCTGGACAGGAACCATAAGAACTAATGCCCAGAAGGTGGACTTAGCAGCAGAAACGTGGAGTCAGAGTAGTACATTAACTCAAAAAGTATGAAAAAATCTCTCCAAAGAATCATATGTTAAATAAAAATGAGAGACTTGACATACACACATTACAAATGTGACATAAAGCTCTTTTAAATAATGAAATGAGCAGGATTACATGTGATACAGCTAAACTAACACTAACAGTACCTTTTCATTATTGAAAAGAACAAAATAATATGTTCAGTCTATTGCTAAACTACTCACAGGATGGGCTGCTATGTGTATCCCTAAATTTTCCAAAAACGTATACTTCCTGTCCTCAGGCAGGGGTAGCCACTGCACACCACGAAAAACACTGGGGCCCTGTTTTCTCTCCTGAGTAGGGTGGAGAAAGGGATGCTTTCAGGAACATTATCTTACTCAATGCCCCAGTAGCCTATATGGGAGAGATAGTCTCACAGAGAGGATTGGGAGATACTGGGGGAAAGCTTTCCCCCTGGCAGTCGCTACAGCTAGAACCATGAAGCCCCTAGGTGTCCTGCTGTTTTCTCTGCAGGGCAGGATAAGACTAGATATAATGTTACTACGCTGTCTCATTTTAGCAAGTAGTCTCAGCATATAATTGTTTGGAGAGGTGAAATACAGGGGCTTCAGTTCTTTGCCCTACCCTGGAAGGAACTTTTGGACACTGCAGTACTTTGTGGAAAATGGGAGCTAAAGTTGCAGGCAATAAAAGGTCTCAAAAGGAAAAATGAAAGTTAGGGACATCAATCTGGTTAAAAAGCCCTCAAAATTATCTAGTGAATGCTAACATTAGATGGGCGTTGGTCTTTAGGTATTCACACGGGTATACATCTACTTTATGCATTTCTATGCAGATTTAGTATTAAAAATACCTAAATATATATTTAATTCTATAGGATCCCAAAGCACTTTGGGGATTTAAACAGATAAGCCAACCTCAAAGGGACTGATTCTTGCAACTAAAACACAGACACCTCTGGGGTGAAATGTGGCAACAGTTTGACAGGCATAGCAGTAGCTTAGGCCAGAAAGGATTTATCCAATTAAAATTATGGGATGAATTTTGGCTGGCAGAATGTAATTACCAGCCTTGGAATGGATCCAGGATCCTGAGGTTAACACCCCTCCTCTTGCCAACCACCCTCCTACCTGCCAACACTCCGAGATGGAGAAGGCTGGATTTGACATAATCGCACATAATACTGTTGTGACATCTAAGTACAATGATGATGATGTGAGAAGCATCATGAACCTGATTTTTTTTAACACTCATTATGTTACTTATTTTTATGCCACATTAGGCTAGAAACCAAATGTCCACATAAATGTTAATTTCCTCAAATCTGTGTTTAAAAATTATAATTAGAAAATAAAAAATAGATTTAAAAATTAATTTATGCCGTCAAAGTAGTTATTTAGTGATTATTTCACTACAGGAACAAAATTGGATCAAAATGGTGACATTTAATCCTTGCTACATAAAAAAACAGGTCCTGATTTTTTGGAAGAGAAATGTATTCTCAAGGTTGACTGGCCTAGAAAAAAAAAAGGAAATGAGTAAGCCCGGTTCATACTCGTTGTAAGTTTAACTAAACGGGTATGTTCACGCACTCCTTCTGTCCTGGGGTGGGTCCAGTTCCTAGTCACAGGCACTCGCGGCCGTAATTTCCCAGGAGGGAATTTACTAGAAGGGGGTGTGTGTGTCCCTCTCCAGGAAACCAGAGAAGAGCCCCCTGCTGGTGCATGATCAATGAGCAAAGACCTCATTACCGTCTAATGCCCTTTAAAAAGTCGTTCGCTTACACGAATGGCTTGCGGAGAGTTCCGCGGTAAAGCAGAGCAGGCGGAAAGGCACCGCGGACAAGCGCGAGCGGCTTCCGGGCCGCGGGCCGGCGGCGGGGCAGGAGGCGCGGCAGGGCCGCGGGCGGTGCGCGGCGGGGAGGCCGCCGTCCCGGGAGGGGCCGTGCGCGGCGGGGAGGCCGGCGTCCCGGGAGGGGCCGTGCGCGGCGGGGAGCGCGCCCGGGCGCCCGAGAGGCGGAGCCGGCAGCGCAGGCTGCGCGCAGGTCACGCGCGGCCACTCCGGCTCGGCTGCCGTGGAGCTCCGCCGCCCCTCGGCGCGCGCTGGTCGGTTCCGTCCCCGACCGCGAGCGGCGGGCGCGGCCGCTGGCTAGAGAGCCGGGCCGGGCCGCCAGCGCCGGCCGCCCCTCGCTCCCTGCCGGGCCAGAGCCCGCGCGCCCCGCCCCCGCCGCTCCCCGCGGGCCTCCTGGGGCCCCGGGAGTCACTCGTGTTGCCCTTCGGCCCACGTGGCCCTGGGACACTCCACCCAGGCACCGCGTCGGGACCGCGCAGGGGCCCGCAGCGGTGGGGCCCCGGCGCCGAGCACGCGTCCCGCCGCGTCCGCGAGCCTCCTTGCGGCCTCCAAAGAGCCAGTGGGGTGCGTGCGCCCGGGCAGGTGAACTGCTTCCTTTCTACTTGGCGCTTGCCAGGCCAACTTAGTGACTCCGGGCCGTAGACTGAGGAGGGGGCAGTGTTCTCGTCTGTCACCGGAAGTCATCGGGCGGTAATGGAAGGGCTGGGATGGGCGGACTGGGATCTCCCTGTCCTACAGTCTGGGGGGCTTGCGTTTGGAGCACTTTCTCAGAGGAAAGTGCTTCCAAACTTCTGGTACTGCCGCTCATTTCAGCTTTTGCTGTGAAGGTGAATTTTCTAACACCATCTTTGTGTGATTTAGCTGTCCACAGGGAATCAAAATGTGGAACGAGAGGATGAAACTAATCCTTTCTTTTGCACTGTTAGGGGTTGCCATAAACACCATTTGTTAAAAAGCATAATTATGTTGGGAAAGTGCCTGATGAGACAATTAAGCTACATAAACACACTGAAAACAAATGAAAACCAGAAGACGCCCACACCCCTTGTGTAAAGCAATTTTTTGTTTACATAGAAATGAGAGGTCTGGGCTGCTTTATTACAACAATGTTATTAATGTCTAGAAAAACCTAATGGTTACATTTTTATGAATTTTCGGTTATAGATGATGGTCCCAATATGAAAACCTGCCTACAAATCTGAACTGGCCACGGAGCCCTCAGCTCCATCTAGGTTAAGAGGTTTAGGCCAACAGTCCCAGCGGACAGAAGCCAGCGGATTTTTTCATGGACAGGACCGTTATTTGCACCAGAGAACTTTCTAGCTTAAACTCTGAAGTTTAAAGTTTGTCTCAGACTTGGACACCATTCACTGCAGTATTCCCCAGAACATCACCTGACACAAAATTACTCTCATCAAATATTTGTTAAATGAATTTCATGAGGGCCACATTCATTTTAGTTATGATATTTAAAAAGAGGCCAAAATTATGATGTCCTTATCTTGAAAACGGGAATTATTTTCTTATGATTTTGAGATATTTTAATTCCTTTAAATCACGCTATCATTTGAGGTATGCAAAAAATGCCATTCTAGAATACTAAAAAGCTTCAAAGCAAACTCCAAAACTTGTGTAACAATTCATTTTCAACAAAAGATTCAGTCACATTTTTGGCAGTATTGATTAATAAGAGTATGCGTCATTTTTCAGTCCTGTGAAAAGATTTAAACTGATTTAGAAACTTTGAAGATCAAAGTACAAGGAGCAACTTAGTCAAACAGTTGTCATTTAGAGCACCCAAATGGGTCCCTTTTATTTGTTCATATAATTAATGTCCATGGCATGGCCTGTGGAGATACTTTTTCTTTTTGTCACAGAATAGTTTTTATAAGAATCAGTATATTAAATAATCTCCCTCATTTCCCTTTTTCTGTATTTCTCCAGTAAGTCTAGCTTAACAACAACAACAAAATGCCTGTTAAACAGTACAGACCTCAAAAACAGGGCTAAGCTAAGGAAGATCATGCTTAAAATGGGATAGCATACTTTAATGTAAGTTTTATTGACATGACAGAATTCAGGCTGAGTAACTTGCCAGGTATTTTCCAGTGTTGTTACTATGTTCATATGTGCGTGGCCACGTACACATGGTTTTCTATTTGAGTCAATCTGAGGATTTTATCCTTTAGGTGTTTGCTAGAAATGACATAGTGAAGTGTTCATATTATGACTGCCTGGTTTCCAAAAAGTTGATTTTTATGGTTAAAAAAAAGAAAAGAATCAACTACAGAGACTGAAATAAAGAATCATTTTTCTCCTATTTTAGAAAAATCATGTCCAGTCTGGGGCTCCGTTTGGCTGCCTGTTTACTAAATATTTCAGAAGCCAGAAGAAAATACATTGTTGAGAACATAGCAAAAGCAGCTCTTCTTGACAAAAATGGTAGGAACAACAGACAATTGAAGCGAATATTGTGTTTTGACAACATAGTAATTTTTGTACTCTGCACAATGTATCTACAGAACACTTTTCTTTCTTCCTAGATTTTCCTCCTTGCTATAGCTTCTGCACGACTCCAGGATGCTAAGATAGATCAGTTACTCAGATGTGCACATATGCTCTTTACCAAATGCCTGCGTACACTCAGCAGTGCAGCTCTGCGAGTCTCTGAGATGTACATTGTTCAGGATATTGACAGGCTCCTGAGGAGGATATATTTACATAAAAGTATAATGTTTCCCCCACGGGCCATTTATTTGATCATTAATAGAATGAGCATAATCGTACCTTCTGCTATTTATTCAGCAGGTTAAATGAAAAATAAACTTGCTAAGTACCAACTACTTTTCAAAGCACTCCTGCCAGCAGAGCCCATGCTATCATTACAGTATTATTATTTCTACTCCATTTTCTCTGCATAAAGACCCTTAGGCAATTGCATGTAAGTGATGCTTGTAAGATCACTCAGCAATTCAGTGACAGACTGGAACTCACGCCTCCTTACTTCCTTGGCCAGTGTTACTATGAGAGGCTACTCTCTCTTGACCCTTCGTAAATTGTTCATGTGATGGCACGCAGCTTAGATATTATTTGTATTTACTTTCACACACACATAATAGTACATTTACAGACTTCAAATTATTTAAATGGAATTGCTTTGTTATTAAATCAGTTGCTTCTTGGCAACAGGTGACCATTAGGGTCGCAGCCCTAAAGCATTTGAGACAGTATATTTTAATTTCTGATTGTCATTTTTTATGTGATTACTGCTTTTGATGAGAAAGAAGTGTTTTCCCCCAACCTCTCTCTAACTACGAGCCCATTTAAGTTACTGTCTTGCAACTTCGTGAGAGCAGGAAATGGCTATGAAAATTCCTGATAATGGCTGATAAGAAAACTCCTTTGGAGTCAGTATGCAGCTGTGCTTTTGCATGCTTTTTGTGGAAAGAGCCAGCTTGGGCTCTTCATTGTCAGAAACAGTACATCTAATGGGACTGAGTTGCCTGTCCCTGTGATTAAGTCAATGTGCAGAGACATTTGTGGAAGACATACACTGATGGACGCCTGGGTCTCAACTCACAGTTTTTATCAGCTTATTAGTGGCAGCAGCTCAAATGGAATTATATTATAGCTATTATACTCCATTACAAATACCAAACAATTTACTTCTGCTGAGATTCACACTGACAGCTCCTCTTGCCAGCAGTAATTTTTTCCTATATGCATGCTTAAGAAATTGCAGGAGAGAGTGTTTCATTCTTTCAGCATTTGATTCAATTGAATCATATGAAACTGAGAATAAAAGCTTTTCAGAAGAAGATTTAGGATGAAAAAAAAATTAAATGATATCTCTTCTCTTCCAGGAGCTAGAATATGTTGAAAAACTACATAAAATAGAAGGTTGCATGATCTTCTTGCTTCATCTTTTATAGTTTTAAAAATGCAGGGAAGGTAGCACTAGTTAAGAAAATGAACCTGTTGTTTTACACATATTTTAAAGGCACTTATTTTTAAGTGAGTGGCATAAAACTATATATACTATATATTTTTTCTAATTAAGCAATGTGAGCACATTTAAATGGCTTAGAAAGGTCTTAGGTAAAGGAATAGAGTTATAAATTTTAGACCTACACCAAGGCAGGGCTCTATAGATGTTCGTTTGGCTATCAGTGAGTGACATATGTTTATCTTCTCACATTATTAAAATTAATAGTGTAGGGCTGCCTTAAGCTCTGTAGTTCCTAGTTGGAACTTATTTTTCCTTTCCTCTGAAAAGATTAATTGTTAAGCTGCCAGGGAGCAGGGGGACAAGGTATAATAGCATAGCTAAAGGTTTAATTACCGCCTAAAAACTTTTGTCCTTCACTTTGAATTTGCTTTTGTAGGCATAAGGAGGACTTTTAAGGAGGTTGAGCCGGGCTTGTAAACTTCAAAAATAACTTTGGGGTTATGTATGGCTGCCATACAAGGGAATGGCAGCTTTCTCCTTCAGGTTACACATATTCAAGTGAGTCACAAGCCACCAAAAGCTGGAAGTTGTTAACATCTGAAGGCTGTTGGTGGCCTCTGAAAAGGACATGGTGGAGTCAGAACGGTTTCTAATGGACAGGTGCATGTGTCTCAGAAACCTCTGCTGTAAGCACTAATTGGCTGATTCTAGTGTTTCCAGATGTCAGATCTTGACCCAAATAGTCCGATTTCTGGATTTTGGAAGGAAATACTGACAAGCCCTAGGAGACGAGGTTGATAAGGAACAAAATTTAGAGTGATATGATTTGGCCACTGAAAATAGGGGCTATCTTCTTAGACTGAGTTAGAAGCACTTTGGTAAATTCAGAACCAAGTCCAAGCGGAGGTCTTTTACAGATAGCAAAGGCTTGTGTCTGAGCTGAGCCACCTGGTCATATAGCACGACTCTGGAAGAAGTGGGCATTACTACTCACAAATTCTGTGATTATACAGTGTTACTTTCAAAGGTCACATCTCAGAATTTTTCTACTAAACTAAATTTAATTGTATTAGAAGAAATAAAGTATTAATGTTTTATCATAGAAAAAAATTTTTCGTACTTTTGTTTTCTTTACAGGGCAGAAACTTTCTGAAGTGACAGTGCTGAATATATTTTCTGATCAAGACTATAACAGATCAGTCATTACAATAGCAGCTTCTGTTGATAAGTTGGGTAAGATTTCAGTTTTTTTCTTTACATATTTGTCCTTTTTTTATGAAGGGTAGGCTTCAGGTAGAGCCGGATGTTCTATAATCATTGATTTCCTGTGTAAATCTAAATACTCCTTTCAGCCCGGCGTGGTGGCTCACGCCTGTAACCCTGGCACTCTGGGAGGTTGAGATGGGCAGATTGCTCGAGGTCAGGAGTTCAAAACCAGCCTGAGCAAGAGCGAGACCCCGCTCTACTATAAATAGAAAGAAATTAATTGGCCAACTAATATATATAGAACAAATTAGCTGGGCATGGTGGTACATGCCTGTAGTCCCAGGTACTTGGGAGGCTGAGGCAGTAGGATCACTTAAGCCCAGGAGTTTGAGGTTACTGTGAGCTAGGCTGACGCCACAGCACTCACTCTAGCCTGGGCAACAAAGTGAAACTCTGTCTCAAAAATAAATAAATAAATACTCCCTTCCATGAAGTAGTCTACTATAAAACTGTATTTCATCATTTTTCTGAACATGTTTATCTCAAACATTCATTTCTTCTTTATTAAAATGAATCTTGGAGTCCAAGATTTAATAACATTCTTTTGCTGGAGATGATCACGTATCGTTTGTGCATAAGAAAAACATCTTCAGGTTTTCATCTGTGCAGTAATAGTGCTGAAATCAACCTCACCTTCTCTCACAAGTTGGCATGGAGTGAAACATGCTACGCAGTGTGTTTTGTGTTGGGAGCCTGAGCTGTTGAGTTGAGCCATGGGTTGAGTCGAAATGGGCTCTATGTCTTACAGGGATGTTGTAAGGTTGAGTAGAATAACTTAAATTAGAAAAATCACAATTGTTTGAACAAAAACCTGTATTATCTTAATATCAAAATATTTTCAAATAAAGTTATTTTCAACTTGGAAGAGTGTTTTCTTGGACAAGAGAGGGAAAAGTTAACTGATAACTTTAACTCTATGCAAGCATAGGACAGATTATTTTGAAGAAAGTTAAGATTAAAATCTGTTTTCTCTCTATTGGCAAAATGGTCACACTGTACTGCTAATAAAAACTCAGAGTAATAATAGAAAACTCTTCTAGGTCTACAATATGTATTTACATATAATAAGTCAATGAAAAATCTAATTACTGGATAAGAGCAAAGCAAAATATGCTTTTAAAAATTTATGTTTGTGTGTATATTATTATTACTCATATAGCATTCTGAAAATAACAAGGAATTTGATTAGATTAATTGGAGAAAATAGAAAAAATCTAAAGTAACCAATCGTAAAAAAATAATAATGTAGTATAAGATCAATACACCTTGCATAATTTGTCCACTTTGAAGAGAAAAAAGCTGGAAGACGTGAACTTTTATAACTGTTGAGAGATGGGGCAAGGGAGGGAAATGTTGGATCTTTTTTATTATTTGGGATGAAAAAAACTCTTCTTTACGGATTACAAAAGAAATCAACTCGTGGGACAACAAATTCACAGCTTTTTCTTTAGATGCAATTGAAAGCTTAATGATTGCTTTTTGTGATTGTACATTTTTAGGCAGTGCTGTTCTGTCTGCTTGCTTGGAGGCCTTCCGTGCTATCGATATGGAGGTTCAAGAGGGAATCCACCCCTGCCTGGGAGCTGTGGACCTCATTCCGATTTACCCGCTCTCGGGTGTCGGAGTGGAAGAGTGTGGAGTGGTGGCAAGAAGTAAGAGAAAGTTTGAGGTTCTGTGTTATTCCTTACTGGAAAGTGTTTTTACAGACCAGAGCAGCTTGTGACAATCTAATCACTCCTCAACTCCCTGGGAGTAGTTGATCTTGAAGAATTCTGTCAGCAGTAAGTGTTCATGGGTTGCAGTGACACACCGTGTCTACTTTCCACCTACTTTCCACCCTGCCACGTTATGGAATGCTAAACGCTGTGAGATGTGGCAAAGAAAAAAAATTATCAATAGTTTTGTCCCTGACAAATTCACAGGAGAGCACGAGGCAACAACAGTAGTTTCCAATGAGTCCCTTGGACTCTTCAGGGCAGAACGAGGGCGTGTTTTGCCCATCTGTGTGCTATTTTCTTGAGCAGGGGTAATGATGAGATTGAAAAACCACTTAAATGTTAACTCCTATCCTTTTTTTCCTCTGATTTTTTTTTTTCCCTACATACAACTCTCTCTAAGATTTTCTTTAGAGCTGAACTGTCACATGCATGATTTCAGCCCCAGGGGTGAGATTAATTTGGAAAATTTGAGCTGCGTCACTTGAGGTGTTTTTGAGTTAGGCAAATTGGGAGAAAAGAAAGACCTTTTGCCAGGACTGACTCTAGCTGTACCATGGTTAATTACGGGATACAGAGGCTCATAGTCTTTGGGGAAAAGTCCGCCTTAGGATAATTGCATTCTTTTCTGTGTGACCTCAGAAACCCTCTATGATGTTGCCTCATTTTTAATTAATGGTGAATTGTCTAACACTTGGGATGTAGATTTGGACTTTCGCTGAGCTACATCAAGCACCAGAAAACGGAAATGAGACTTGTTTCCAAAGGAGTTCCTCGCCGCTTGTGCTGCGTTTTCCTGTGACCTTACAGTGGAGGGGTTATTTCCCAGGGACGTCTTGGCCCCACATTTGCTTTACTTCTCAATACGAGAAAGAGTTAAAATACAGCATGGGGGAAAATATGTTTCACACAAAAATGAAGAGTTCAGAATTGTCCAGACCAGAGTAATGATTTTAATTGTCTTCAAAACAATTACGGACAATTACATTAAAGCTCAAATTAGCTGGTACACAAAGTTCTTCATTCCATCAGGACTCGTCCACCCCAGATGTGCGGCCTGTGTGGGAGGCGGCTGCGGATCGCTGGGCCTGGACGCGGCGTTTCTGCCTCCCTTGCCCTTTGCTTCGTTGGCAGCTACCATACCTCATGATTTAAACATGGACATTTCTAATTAAATGAGAGCTCAGCTGCATTCTTGAACTAATTTATAACATTTGATTTGAAATGTAATAGCTTCAATCTTCGTCTGATTAAAAACAGTCATATACTGTACATGGTTACTATTTTGATGCTCCAACATGCAGTTTTTATTTTTACATTCCCTTTTCTACACAGCTGTTCATCTAATATCATCCAAATTTTTTTAAGTTTTTTTTTTTTTTTTTTTTTTTTTTGGTAACAGCATGCTCAGGCATTCTTATGAGGCAGAAGTATTCACATTCTAGGATCCCGCTGTTCTCAGAACAGTGAAAGGATGTTTTTCACTAGAATCAGGCTTTCCCAGGGAAACCAACTGTAAGACAATAATTTAGCTAACCTTCTTCGGACAAAGGGCAGTGGAGAGCATCCTGGTAACATAACAGATAGTTAATACTTTGATAGATATGTGTAACTTATATATGCTTTGTATGCAAAAACACTGAAGAATATATTTCAGAACTTTTTGGTGTAAGTTATATGCTTGCTTATAACTTAAGGAAGGGGTTTTTAAGGTGGGCCCAAAATTGGTGTTCAGGGGATTTGTCACTATTTTTAACACTTTTTACAAGTTTTTTTTGTTTTTGTTGGTAGAGACAGGGTCTCACTCTGTCACCCAGGCTGGAATTCAGTGGCCTGATCATAGCTCACTGCAATCTTGAATTCCTGGGCTCAAGTGATCTTCCTGCCTCAGCTTCTCAAAACACTGGGATTCCAGGCATGAGCCACTGCAGCCCGCCGAACTTATCATAGTTACGATGGTACTTCTTGGTTTTTTAGTTTTAGGCATTGTCTATTGACTTCTCACTGCAGATCAGAATTTATCTCCCTCTTAACCCTCCCCTCACTTCCAATACATACACACACACACACACTTTCCAATCCTTCCTTTCTCTATATATTTATATCAAAATTTGCATCATTAGTGGTTATAACTATGTAAACACTAGTCAAAATGAATAATTTATTTATAGAATGTCATTATTATTTTACCTTTTCTGCATAACTTTTTCTTTCTGCTGGAGTTGATTGTTATCTTTTTGATTATTTGTTTGCTTGGTGTTTTACATACTTATCACTGGCTTAACCCTGGATTCTCTGTTAATAACTACCTCTCTCCATGAATTCAGATAGAACACTCCATGCAGTGAGTATTCGATCAACTTCATCTCTTAAATATAACTGTCTAACCTGTTCCAATTAGGACTGATTACCCTCAATGTGTTGAGGATAACTGTCACTGTGGGATCTCTCTTCGCCATCATCTTGAATGTTCCCTTCACCTTTCTCTGTGTTAGATCCCCTGGTCCTAAACCTAAATCCCACGTCTTCACTTTCTCTTTTGCTTTCTTTCTTAGTTTATGTCCTTGTTTTGGTGGAATACATCCTCTAGTAGCTTTATTAAAAAAGTGAAGTATCTTTTTGAGACCTTGCCTCATATGTCTGATATGTCATTATTCTGTCTTCACACTTATTTGTTACTTTGGCTAGGTATAGAATTCTGAGTTCCTAATAATTTTCTTTTATTTTGAAGACATCATGTCATTGAGTTCTTATTTCCATATTGCTATTGAAACTTCTGAAGCCATTATGATTCCTGTTCCTTTGTATGTGATCTGTCATTTCTCTCTGGAAGCTTGTGAGATCTTCACTTTGTTTCCAGTGTTCTGAAATTTTTGTGACATGTCTTTGTATGAGTCTTTCCTCCATTGTGCTGAATACTTGTTGGGTACTTTTAACCCTTGGAACTCTTGTCTTTCAGTGCTGAAAATTCTCTTGAATTATTTCACTGACAATGTCTACCATTTTCTTAGTTCTTTCTGGAAACTCCATTATTTGGATATTAGAACTCTTGTACTGGTCCTCTGTATTTGTTTTACTCCTTTTTATTTCAAAATTTTACATAGGTACAAACCTTTAGGTTACATATATTGGCTTTGCACTGCCCAAATCAGAGCTACAAGCATGCCCATCCCAGACAGTGCACACTGCACCCGTTAGGTATGCATTTATCCGCCCCTTCCTCTCCCTCCCACCTGCCCAACACCCGATGAATGTTACTTCCATATGTGTTTCTTTTACTTTCTCTCTTATTTTTCATCACTATATTTTTATGATACTTTCTGGAAATTTCCTTACTTTATATCCCAAGCCTTCCATAAATTTTTAAATTCTTTCTATATTAATTTCCAAGTGCTTTTATTTACTCTCTAAATGTTCCTTTTATTTTATTTTTTAAAATAACATCCTAGTCTTATCTCATGAAGGTATCATCAGTGGATAATTTGGGCATTTCTTCTTCCTGTGTTGTCTCCCCCATCTCCTTGCCCCTCCACCCTGTTGCTTTTTCTGTTTGTCTTAAAGGCTTTTCTCAGATATCTGATGATCGCTGGTTGGCTGCTTACTCTAAGAGTGGCTGCCAGAAAGGCGACTGGATACTCTGAGTATGTAGGTGGGGCTTATCAGCTGTAGGGTGATTGGGCTGGGTCATTTCTTTGGGGAACCCTCTTTAATATTTTTTGGTCTTTTCTCTTGAGCTGTTCAAGTTCCCCAGAGAAGGACCTCCCAATCTTCAGCCTGGAGTGTGATGCAACTGCCAGTGGTTTTGAAGCTGACTGGCAGAAGAGGGCTAATTCCTTTCTTTTCATTACACATCAGCACCCTCAGCCATCCCTGGTATTCCTCATGCTTTATTTACCTCTTGCATCCTGCCAGGGTGGGCCAGGGCAGGTATCTGTCTGTGTGGAGCAGGGATGGGCTTTGAGTGCTATTTAAACAGGTTTCCCAGCAGGCTTCCTGTTGTGAGCTCCTGTCTCCCTTCCCTCCCAAAGTGGGGCCATCAGTTCTGACCATGGTCAGGTGTCTGTGGTGCAAGTCAGGCCACTTTTGTGCTGTCCCTCTTGCTGCCTTGGGTCTTATTAAATCACCTACTGCTTGTATGTTTGCTCTCCCACTTCCAATATGATTGCCTCCTCCTCCACTTTTATTTGTTTGAGTAAATGCTTGAAAAGAAATCGCTTTACCGTCTTTGGAGTTTGTGGAAGAAGTGAAACAAAAGTAAACATTTGGATCCACATTCCCATCTTTTCTTGGAAGTTCTTAATTGTCTAATTCTTGGTGATTTTTAATTATCTTGGATGTTTTCAAGAACAATGAATCCACCTAATTTGGAATTGTTGGTAAAGTTACAGGAACATCATTCTTCTTTTGTCTGACTTCCAATTCAACATTGGAGATATTTAGTCTGAATTTCTGGACTGCTATAAGTTTTTTACAGACAGTTTCTCTACAGGATTACTGTGGACCATAGTGCTTCTTATATGTTTCCTATATCTTCCTTACTCAGTGTTTTTATGTGCAGGAGCCAGTGTCTCTGTGATATGACCTTTTTGCCCGTTAACATACAACCTTCCATGAGAAGGATTGAGTAAAGAAGGAAGGGAGGGGTCAGGGTGGAAGGTTCTTAGGCAAATTCTCCAATGACTTGCCAGTGAAAATAGGCTTACTTAATATGTAGGTTATTAATATTTCGCTTTAAGATTCTGGACCATAGTGATGAATTTTGTAAATGATACAGAAACTTGATTTTTATTTTATGTCATTGATCAAGTGAAATAATGTTTGCACAATGCCCTATAAATGGAAGGTATTATTTAGAGGACTGAAAAGATGAAATGCTAGCTACATAAGTCATATGAATAAAATAGTAACTCTCACACAATTTATTTTTTTTATTTATC